CGGGGCACGAACCCGCGTCTCCTGCACCGGCAGGCGGACTCTCAAGCACTGCGCCACCAGGGAAGCCCCCCACCACCATTTTTAAAATCACTTATGTAGTACTCAATTATATACCATGCACTGCTCTGAGTACTTACAAATATTAACTCTTTTTGTGCTATACCAACTGTCTTAGGTAAGTAGAATTATTTTTTTTCAAGTAGAAATAAACTAGTTTTACAGTAAAGGAAACTGATACTATGCCTGTTTTACAAATGATGACACTTGCCCAAGGTGCACAGGTGGTGGACAGAGCCAGGGTTTTGATCAGAGCAGTGTGGTTCCACCGGCCTGTGGTGAACACTATGATTCCATAGCTGCCATTCCATCAGACACAAGTATTATTCATATTTTGGTGTATATACTTCCAATCTTTTACAAAGTGGAGTGTCCCTCTACATACATATGCATGTGGATCAATGCATTTAACCAGTTTCTCATTTTGGAATAATTAGTTTGCTTCCCACTTTCCCCTGTAATAAGACTGCTGAGATGTACGTTCTTGAGGCTAAATCTTTTCACATACCCACATCGTTTTATTATAAATTCTAAAACTGGAAATGCTGGGTCTAATGTTCAGTATATTTTAAAGGCTTGATAAATATTGTCAACTGTCCTTTGGGTAGGTGATTCCAATTTGCAGCTCTATCTGTGATATAAGGACGTGCTCCACCTCACCCGCACTAAGTCATTAAAAGAAAATACAAAAACTTTACTAATTTGGGGTCGCCGGTACCTTTTAAAAGGAATTGCATTAAAGATCCCTTAATTCCACCATTCGCTATCTACCGTGGAGAGAGAGCCCTTTTGCACGAGGAGGCACATATATAATTCACTACAGCATTGTATGTAATACTAAAAAATAAAAATGAACCTAACTTTCCCCAACCGGGGAATGGCTAAATTAGCCTGCATCTCCACACCGCGCAACGTTCTGCAGTGTTAAGGGGAAGGTAGGACTGCATGTGTTAAGGCAGACGATGATAAAGGGAGACTCCCGCTGCGCTTCACCTGGGAGCGCGGCTGCTGTTGGGGTTTCTGCTTCTTGATTCGGTTTTCCGGTGTGCTCGGCTTTGCGCCAGGCCCGGGATTCTGCGGCCCTAGCCTCGGTGTCCGCAACAGCCTTACCCCCGCAACCCTCCGCCCGTCCTGGAGCCTTCTCCAAGGCGGGCCGGGAAACCGGACTCTTGATGGTCGGGCCCTTGGGCGCCGGGACAAGTTTCCGGGAGCTACTCTCAGCAGAGCACCAACCGGAAGCGTCCGTGTTGCGGCGGAAGGAGGTGCTCTCTGGAAACAGCCGGTGGTGAAAGGAGCGTGGCAGGCAAAGATGATTCAGGCGATTCTGGTTTTCAATAACCACGGGAAGCCGCGGCTAGTCCGCTTCTACCAGCGTTTCGTGAGTGCGGCGGAGCTTCGTCACATCCTTTCGGGGCACCTGCGCCCCCTTCTCTCTCTTTGTTCCGTACGGCGCACGCGGGCATCGCCCGCTGACCTCCTAGGCCTCCTGAACCGTATATGTGATCTTCCCCAGACCGGGGCCAGTGTCGGGCCTTGTGCCCCATGCCCCGCTATCCCCGCTCTTTCCCACCCCTTCCTGGACCCCGGCATTTCTGTGCCATTTTTGTGACACTTCTCGCAGAGTCTCAGGGCTCTATAAATGGTGTGAGTGTGTGTGTGTGTGTGTGTGTGTGTGGAGG